TCTTAAAAAAAAATAAAAATAAAAGGTGCTATGTTAATATATAATACTGCAACTTTATCCAATATATTTTTGCTCTCAGACAGCGTTTCTGTTTGGTCTGCAAGAAAGAATATATTGCTGTTCTGTTGTTGCCTATATACTTTCCTATTCTTTTTAAGGTTAGAAAGTTCATCCACAACATTTTTTTGTTCTTTAATCTTGCTGCTAAGATCCTCCTTGTGTGGGGTCCAATTGTCGGTGGGGATCAGCACAGAGCTGTCCTCTGGGCGCGTCCCTCGGTTGGGCATTTCCACCCAGCACGAGACAGGCGGGATGCTCAGCACTGAAGGAGCCTACAGCATCAGCCAAGGCGCATGCGCGCGTCCAGCCACGCTCACCCTTTTCCCGCGAGTGTTCTAAAATACTTTTATTTCTACAACCATCTGATCTTTGACAAACCTGACAAAAACAAGCAATGGGGAAAGGATTCCCTGTTTAATAAATGGTGTCGGGAAAACTGGCTAGCCATGTGCAGAAAGCAGAAACTGGACCCCTTCCTGACACCTTACACTAAAATTAACTCCAGATGGATTAAAGACTTAAACGTAAGACCTAACACCATAAAAACCCTAGAAGAAAATCCAGGCAAAACCATTCAGGACATAGGAGTAGGCAAGGACTTCATGAACAAAACACCAAAAGCATTGGCAACAAACGCCAAAATAGACAAATGGGACCTAATCAAACTCCACAGCTTCTGCACAGCAAAAGAAACAGTCATTAGAGTGAATCGGCAACCAACAGAATGGGAAAACATTTTTGCAATCTACCCACCTGACAAAGGGCTGATATCTAGAATCTACAAAGAACTAAAACAGATTTACAAGAAAAAAACAAGCCCATTCAAAAGTGGGTGAAGGATATGAACAGACACTTTACAAAAGAAGATATACATGAGGCCAACAAACATGAAAAAATGCTCATTATTCCTGGTCATCAGAGAGATGCAAATCAAAACTACGTTGAAATACCATCTCACACCAGTTAGAATGGCAATCATTAAAAAATCTGGAGACAACAGATGCTGGAGAGGATGTGGAGAAATAGGAACACTTGTACACTCTTGGTAGGAGTGTAAATTAGTTCAACCATTGTGGAAGACAGTGTGGCAATTCCTCAAGGACCTAGAAATAGAAATTCCATTTGACCCAGCAATCCCATTACTAAGTATATATCCAAAGGATTGTAAATCATTCTACTATAAGGACACATGCACATGAATGTTCATTGCAGCACTGTTTACAATAGCAAAGACCTAGAACCAACCCAAATGCCCATCAATGATAGACTGGACAAGGAAAATGTGGCACATATACACCATGGAATATTATGCAGCCATCAAAAACGATGAGTTCGTGTCCTTTGTAGGTACATGGATGAATCTGGAAACCATCATTCTCAGCAAACTCAAACAAGAACAGAAAATCAAACACCGAATGTTCTCACTCATAGGTGAGTGTTGAACAATGAGAACACATGGACACAGGGAGGGGAACATCACACACTGGGGTCTGTCGGGGGGAAGCAGGGGAGGGACAGTAGGGAGTGGGGAGATGGGGAGAGAGCATGGGGAGAAATGCCAGATATAGGTGATGGGAAGGAAGGCAGCAAATCACACTGCCACATGTGTACTTATGCAACAATCTTGCATGTTCTTCACATGTACCCCAAAACCTAAAATGCAGTAAAAAGTTTTCATCATCACACATACATGTATACTTATTCTGTATAAGTGTTTCTATATACACTTCAACAATGTAAAAAAAATGCTTTTATTTCAGCAGGTATTTCTCCTGTTCTTTTTCCTATTTATTCTGTCACTATGTTTTCATGGTCTTCAATTTCTTCCTTTAGGTCTGCAATCTCCCTTTTCATCTCCAATTTACAATTTTCTCATCTTCGAGTTTATTTTATTGGATTTATATTTTTATCAAGTTGTTGTACAGTGTAAGGCAATGGTAATGAATTTCTTCTGTTCCAAGTGCAGTTTGTTTTTAGTAAGATGCCTTGCAAACCATGTCGTTCTTTCCTTTCCTCCCTACCCCCGCTTACCATTTCTGTTCACTTTGCTGGTGCTAGGTTGCCTTTAGTACCCCCTACTGATATGGCAGAGTGAAACCTTAACTTCCTTTTTACACTGGTCTGATTCCAGTTTGTTAGGTAAAGCCTGGGCAACTGCTCTAGCCCAGAAAGTTGAAGCCCAGAGGACTTTCCCCTATCGCACTCACCTCCAGCCAGCATAAAGGGCCCACTGCTCCTTTGTCAGAAAAGAAAAAAAGCAAAGTATGCTGAGATTCAGTTTCCTTTTTTTTTTTTTTTGAAAACAAGGACAAGATCAGTTTCCTTCTTTCCTATTTATTACAGAGAATTCTCAAGCTTTTGATGACTCACCACTATAGTTTCTGGTGGTTGAGACATACTTGAATTTTAAATATATTTTTTAAGCTTGAGAATTAGAAACAAATTAATGAAAACCAATGACACTGCTGATGGGTATCTCCACATACCATTTGGTAAAACCCTGGCTTGTGGCATAACTTGTTTTCTTGTTGGGCCCAGAGAAAATTTTTGGTGGTTCTGAACTTCTCTCCATCATACACACCTCACTTTTCCCCCTTTTGTTTTCTCTTTTCTGTACCTCTAAGTCAGCCAACCCTCTCTGCCAGCTCCCTGTTTTTCCTTTACTCTTCTCTGAATTGCATACTCCCCAGTTTCATTCTTCCAAAGGAGGAATAAGGACCCTCAGAGACAGTGCTGTCAAGCTCTACTCTCCCTAATGTTTCACAAATCATAAAATGCACATTTTTTTTCTTTTTTGAGACGGTGTTTCGCTCTTGTTACCCAGGCTGGAGTGCAATGGCGCGATCTCAGCTCACTGCAACCTCCGCCTCCTGGGTTCAGGCAATTCTCCTGCCTCAGCCTCCCGAGTAGCTGGGATTACAGGCACGCGCCACCATGCCCAGCTAATTTTTTGTATTTTTAGTAGAGACGGGGTTTCACCATGTTGAACAGGATGGTCTCGATCTCTTGACCTCGTGATCCACCTGCCTCGGCCTCCCAAAGTGTTGGGATTACAGGTGTGAGCCACCGCACCCGGTCCTAAAATGCACATTTTTTTTAACATTCGAGCATTTCTGAAATGAGAATGCTTTGTACAGTGGCATGGCATAGCACGATTGACAGTGTTTTTTTTCTTACTTGATTACATAAAATGAAAGTGCATCTAATAAGTAATGGCATTTTAGTTTGGGTTTTAGCACTGATAAACATGATGATTGAGCCTGTAATCCCAGCACTTTGGGAGGCTGAGGCAGGCTGATCACTTGAGGTCAGGAGTTCCAGACCAGCTTGGATAACATAGCAAAAATCCCATCTCTACTAAAAATACAAAAATTAGCCAGGCATAGTAGCGCACTCCTGCAATCTCAGCTACTCAGGAGGAGACAAGAGAATCCCTCGAACCTGGGAGGGGGAGGTTGCAGTGAGCTGAGATTGTACCACTGCACTCCACCCTGGGTGACAGAGTAAGACTCGGTCAAAAACCAAACCAAACCAAAACAAAAACCATGATGATTGGTAATGGAAGATGATACATATGATTGACTCAAACAGTCTGAAGGTTTATAAAAGTAGCAGGAAAATGAGTCCAATGTGGCTTTGAGCTGAGAGTGTGATCCATGGAATATATGTTTTAATAAATGCTTCACTTCTAAGACAGTACCTCTGGGGTTATGGTCCTTTTCATACTATTTTTTGAAATGATTTTTTTTGGCCTGATGTGGTGGCTCACACCTGTAATCCCAGCACTTTGGGAGGCCAGGGCGGGCAGATCACGTCAAGAGATCCAGAGCATACTGCCAACATGATGAAACCCTGTCTCTACTAAAAATACAAAAATTAGCTGGGCATGGTGGCACGTGCCTGTAGCCCCAGCTACTCGGGAGGCTTGAACCCAGGAAGTGGAGGTTGCGGTGAGCCGAGATCGCGCCACTGCACTTCAGTCTGGTAATAATAAAATGAAATAAATGCTTTTAGACAAATCAGCACTGACAAATCATGTGAACCAAACTCAGATTTTCTTTTAACTTTTCAAATAAATACATGAGAAACTTTTGAGGAAATATAGGTAATAAAAATGAGTCATGCAGATTTTTGATCATCTAAAATGGTGGAAAACAACTTTACGAACAATAGAACTTACAAGTTCAAGTCATGTCCTGAGACAAACAGATAAAGCCTTACCTGCTATGCCCTAATTGCAAGCAAAGTTGATCAGGCATTTTCCTTAGGGTGGATTTTGATAGGGTCTCTGCACAGGTGGATTTGGGGTGGGTGGAGAGGATACTTAGAAACCTTGACAAGCAGTGGGACTTAGCACCTGGGCCAGTTAGCACACGAGGGAAACTCCAGGGTTCCCAGAGTCAGCTCCAGCATCTCCCACCATTCACTCCACACTCAAGCACGCTATGTTAGTTTCTAAAACTTCTTGCCAAACAAAAGAAGGAAATTTAAAAAAATAATAAATGAAAGAAGTGGGAATACTCAGAATCAATAAAACCATCGCTAACTAAACAAACGGGCTGATGGAGTCAACTCGCTACTGCGTGTAACGGACTGATTTGCTAGGGGTTGAAACGTGAGTGCTAATCGCCTCCACGCAGTCGCGGAGTATCTTCCCAGTATCTCCCCTTTCCGACCCCGGGAGGGTGCACCCCTCTGTCACCGCGGCCACGTCCCCTCGCCTTCCCCCTCCTGCCTCCACGCAGCGGATCCGGAGGGTCGTAGGCCACTCCAGCCCTGGCTGCCTTCGGTGACCCCGACGCGGGTCCGAGGGGGCTAAGCCCAGGGGGCCTCACGGGGCGGGCTAGAGATCCCGAACCCGAGCCCCGGGAGGGTGAGCAGGTTTTTCAAGGTAGGATGGACCTGGAGGAACGCGACCCTCAAACTTAGCACGGACTCACATCTTGCAATGGCAAGTGCCCGGTGTCCCGGGCATCCTGGTGCGGTGGGGTGGGACGTGGAGGGGCGCAGAGCCGGGGGCAACGAAAGCGGCTCCCAGCAGGGGCGACGCGTGGAGGGCGCGGGGCAGGGCCGAGGGCAGCAGCCCGCGAGCGGCCGCGGGGTGAAGAGCGGCGGGCGCCCCGGGGCCACTCGGAGGGGTCCTGGGGTCGCAGGCGCCGCGCGGGAAGAGAGGAAGGGAGCGCGAGTCGCATCCTCGGGACGCGGGGGGAGGGCAGGAAGGGCAGGAAGGGGAGGAGTCGGGGAGAGCGAGAGGGAACTGGAGGGGATTCCGGGAATCGCGGCGTTTGCCTTCCAGTCAGCGGCCCTAGCGCTGCGCTCCCGCGTCCCCGTCTAGCCGCGTTACCTTTGCAGCTCTCGCCTCGCGGCTCCCGAGAGATGCCAGCCTCGCGCCCTAGCCGCGCCCGGCTCCGGGACAGGACGCTCGCGGTCGGGCTGCGCCCGGCGGTCGGCCTCTCGGACGGAGGCGGCGTGCGGGGGACAAACGCTGGCCGTGCGGCTGGGTGTGGCCCGCGGATTTCGCTAGGGGAGATGTTCGGCTCGCCTGGGGATTCCTCCCCGCGGGGAAGAAAGGTCTTTAGTGCTGGTGCGAGAGCCGAGCGCCAGCCGGCAAGTAGAGCTCCGGGCGCCCGGGACCCGCGCGGGGGCGGGGCCGAGCGGGGGCGGAGCCGAGCGGGGGCGGGGCCGAGCAGGGCTGGAGGCGGGGCCGGAGCAGCGGACCGGGTGGGAGAATACAAACAAGGTCCCGTCGTTTACAAGCGCCTGCTGTCTATTGTCAGCTCCTAACCAATCCTCCGTTCGGCCGAGAAGGCTCCATAGGGGAAGGGATAAATAATTTGGGGCTGTTTTGTTTACTGCAGCATCCTCTGGGGCTAGTGTCTGGCATTTAGAAGACACTCAAAAACATGAGTGAATGAATGAATGAATGAACGAACTAAAGAGTGAATGGGTTCTCTCCTGGCTCCCTCACTTATTAGTTGTATAAACCTCCACGATTATAATTCTCCAACCAGTAAAACGAGGATAAAAATATCTACCATTGAGTAAGTGTAAATATTTAAAACAGTCTCCGTTTTAGATTCTCCTCCCTTCTCTGTGGGTCTCTCCTCCATACTCCTACCCTTCCCTCAACCCCCCACTGAACAACGTATTTCAGGATAGACGGAAAGACAGATATTCTTCATGTTTGTCTACCTGTTATTTATGGCCTGTCAGCTTCCAAAATAGACTCTGAGGCTGGGCGCAGTGGCTCACACCTGTAATCCCAACACTTTGGGAAGCCGAGGCAGATGGATCACTTGAGGCCAAGAGTTCAAGACCAGCTTGGCCAACGTGGTGAAACCCCGTCTCTACTACAAATACAAAAAAACTGGGCGTAGGGGCGGGCGCCTGTAATCCCAGTTACTCAGGAGCCTGAGGCAGTAGAATAGCTTGAACCTGGGAAGTGGAGGTAGCAGTGAGCTGAGATTGCACCATTGCACTCCAGCCTGGGTGACAAGAGTGAAACTTCGTCTCAAAACAACAACAACAAAAACCCAAAACCCAAAATAGGCTATGAGGGAGATTTCAAGTAAAATGTATGTATATTCTAAACATTACAGCTACTAAAATGGAAATGTTAATGTCTTTTTTGAAGGAGAGGGGGAAAAAAATACACTGACCACCTAAATGATTTTAACTGAATATTCAATCTCACTTTTAGCTTTCTGGCCTTGTAGGAAAGGGAGGAAAAGGATGTTTCATACTTTTTGTAGATGGAAAAAAATGAGCCTTTTAATCTATGAAGTCAACTAACATTTGCTCATACTTCTTTAAGGCTAGGCACAGGGGTCATCATAAAGAGCATGTCACAGTCCTGCCTCTCATGTGACCCTTGGCATAATTCCCACCAGTCCCCTAAGATCTGAAGGGAATTCATCTAGGATCCTATTCCTTATAAGAGACATTCAATACTGAAAATATTTTTAGAAAATTTGCAGAAATAGGCTCTGAAAATGGGGGAAATCCAATACCAAACTCCATGTGCCACACGCACTCTTTTATATAAACATATATATTAATATAAAACTATATCAAAATGTTAACTATGACTTATTGCAGATGGGATGATAGTAGGTGATTTTTATTTTGTTTCCTTTCCAAACATTCTACAGTAAATATCTTGCTTATATTATTAGGAAAAAAAGTTTTAAAAACAAATGTAGTCTATCCCAATATGTGAAGAGCTTGGAAGTTGTCACTCCACTCCCCACAACAAAAGAAAAGCTGGCCATATTGAAGATCAACAACTCTTCTTGTTTTGATATCAGTGAATCGAGTCACAGGGCAAACTACAAAAACTGGAGAGACAGACAAATGAGAAGAATCACAGATTAGAAGCCTCTGAAATCATAGCAAAACTTGAATTATAATTGACTAATTGCTGGAGACTGAGTGTGGACTAGCTTGAGAGTTAAACACTGTTGGTTACTCAGTCTTAGTGGGATACTCCCCCACTTGCTTGAGGTTTAACTCCAAGAAGGTCTACCAAGTTCTTGTGGTAAAGACCACAGAAAAAACCCTGTCTGGCCAGTGGGAGGGGATAAATAACCATTTTGAGTTATGCCCAGAGTGTTCTGTAAAAAAAACACTTTCCTCAAGGAGAATTACATTACCGGAGCCTAAACTGACCTAGCAGAAGGGCAATTCGACATCTCAGCCCCCTGTAGCCTTCCTGTCTATCATGACTGAAGGAAAAAAGCAAAGGCTAAGAAACTTCTCTGAGGATCAGAACCCAGAGACTCAGGCACATGAAGTGAATCCCTAGGATTCAATCATAAGATTGTAGAATGTTTTGCCTCCATAGTATCTTACCACCAGATCAACAGGACTCTGTGGTATAATAAACAGTGGATTACAACTCCATTTAAGAAGGCATTTCTAGGAACCAAAGACAATGGAGGAGACAAAAACGAGGACACTAGATAAAAGGAAAGCCTCTCACACCTCCAACTACAGCAAACATTCAACAGCCCAATTCTTAGCAGATAAACATAACACCTCATCCTAAAGGATCATTTGTCTCAGCTCCCATGACCTGATATGTTCTATCTAGCTTTTACCAAAAAATTACAAGGCATGCTGAAAGGCAGACAACTCTAAGCACAATTGGAAGAGACAAAGCAAGCTTAGAAATAAGACTCAGAGATGGACGAGAATTTACAAATCAGACCAGGAATTTAAAATCACAATGATTGCTACGCTAAGGGTTTTGTGCTATAGAAAAATATCTGACTTGGTTCCCACCCAGAGCTCCTAAATCCCCTGTAATTTCCTGAATAACAGGGGTGATACAAGTTATAATGAGGCTACTCTTGGTGGGCCCCTGGATAGCTTTTGGATGGAGGCTGGTCACCAAGAAGACCAAGCTTTATAATCAATAAAGCCTGGAACTTTCAGCTGTATACCTTCCACTCCAACCTCCAGGAAGGAGAGAGGGACTGGAGATTGAGTTAATAATCAATCATGCCTACATGATGTAACCTCCACAAATAACCCCTGAACAACAAATAGAGTTTGAAGAGCTTCTGGGTTGGTGAACACATTAAGGTTCTGGGAGGGTGGTGCCCTTAGGGCATGGAAGCTCCATGCTCCTTTCCCCCCATACCTTGTCCTACTTATCTCCTCCACTTGGCTGTTCCTGAGTTGTATCTTTTATATAAACCGGTAATAGTAAGTAAAGTGCTTTCCTGAGTTTGTGAGTATCTGTAGGGGTTTTTTTTTTTTTAGATGTTCTTTATCAGGTTGAGAATAACTGTTCAAAATAATAATAGCAGCAACATATTGGGTGATTATAGCTAATGAATAAGTAAAATGTATAATAGCAATGTTGTAAGGGTTGAGAGGGAGATATTGGGAATACTCTCTTCTAAGATACCTGTGTGCTACCTGTGAATTAATATATTGTTATTTGAAAATGGACTTAGATTAGTTATAATGTATATTGCAAACTCTAGGGCAGTCACTAAAGATTTGTTAGAAAGAAGTATAATTAATGTGATGGTTAATATTGAGTGTCAACTTGATTGGGTTGAAGGATGTAAAGTATTGTTCCTGGGTATATCTGTGAAGGTGTTGCCTAAGGAGATTAAAATTTGAGTCAGTGAACTGGGAAAGGCAGATCCACCCCCAACATGGGTAGGCACCATCTAATCAGCTGCCAGTAAGACCAAAATACAAACAGGCAGAAGGATGTGGAAAGACTAGACTGGCTAAATCTTCTGGCCTCCATCTTTCTCCCCTGCTGGATCTTCCTACCCTTGAACATCAAACTCTAGCTCATAATAATGTATCAGTATTGGCTCATCAATTGTAAGAAATATACCACATAATGGCAAGATATTAATATAGGTGCAACTGTGGTAGGGGAGGGGAGTATATGGGAAATCTCTGAACTATATGTTCAATTTTTCTGTAAATGAGGTTTATTATTTTAAATGCACATTTGTTCATTAAGTCAGTTAATATTTACTTATTGCTACTCCTGCCAAGCACTGTTGTAGGTGTTGGAGAGAGCATGGTGTATGACACAGACCAAGTCTCTGCTCTCTCATGGGACTTATATTCTAGTGGGGGATGGTGGGACTGACACAAACCCATGAGTGAACAAGATAATTTCAGAGTGACATGAAGACAGAGTAACCAGGTGGTTAGAAGGGAGTGCCTGGGAGAGCTACCTGGGACAAGCCGATCTGGAAGGACCTCACTCAGTTAAGGCGTCTGGACAGAGACTTGAACAATGGAAAGCCTAGCGCCCAGAATTCCAAGAAGACCAGGCTAGAAGAAGAACAAATGCTAAAGTCCAAAAGGCTCTGGAACTGGCACCAGTTAGGGATGGAAAGGAAGGAGTCCACTGTGGAATCATGGATGACTTGTACTCGTGGGCTTGAGCCATGGGCTGGATGGTGATATCGTGAATTGACCTGGGAAAGACCAAGAAACCCTCTAGGGTTGGAGGATGGAAATGAAATGTCAAGAAAGCAGTGTGAGAATCCTAAGGCCTGTGAGTGGGCACAGCGAGGTGGGTAGCCATGCCAGCAGAATTGGGGGAGCCATGGAGGTCCATCATGGTTGACAGAACCTGAACACAACCTAAACCTGGCATGATCATTGGGCAAAGGGGGCATCCATCAGTGAAAGTTGCTTGGCACAGGGGGTTGGAGCATGATGAAGTCCTGCAGTGTGAGGGTGGCATCCACATGGGGTAGTGGGGTGGGGCCCACTGTGAGACTCAGAACCTGAGAGGATTGAGGAGGAAATTCT